CCCCCCCCCCCCCCCCCCCCCCCCCCCCCCCCCCCCCCCCCCCCCCCCCCCCCCCCCCCCCCCCCCCCCCCCCCCCCCCCCCCCCCCCCCCCCCCCCCCCCCCCCCCCCCCCCCCCCCACACACACACACACACACACACACACACACACATACGAAAACCAGTATGGCATTGTATATTCCCACGATGTAGCGCCAGATTCATTCGTTTTTTATTTTTTTATTTTTTTTTTATTTTTTTTATTAATTGATTGATTGATTGATTAGTGTGGAGGGGTCAACCCCCCCCCCGATCACACACATACACACACACACACACACATACTTGCGCAAGGTTTAAAAACCCGTTTTCTCGGTTTTTTTTTTTTTTTTTTTTTTTTTTTGATTGCTTGATTGATTGATTGTTGGGGGAGGGGTCGCCCCCCCTACCCCCGCCCGATCACACACACACACACACACACACATACTTGCACGGGGTTTCGAAGCGGTTTTTTTCTTTTCTTTTTTTTTTCTGTTTTTATTTTTTTTCCGCAATAGAAACAACAATGCCCCCCAAAAAAATATGGGCGTGTAGGGTTTTTTGAGCCCTACACGCCCACATATATATATATTTTTTATGTGTTAGAAAAAAAATAAAAATCCTGCACCGAACTTGGCTGGTCGGCCGAGGCCGAACCTGGCCGATTTGGCTGTCGGCCGAGGCCGAACCTGGCCGATTTGGCTGTCGGCCGAGGCTGCGGCCGATTTCCCCCCCCTGGCCGCGGCCGGGCGTGCAACATAGCTTCACACCACCATACTACCTTGCCCATTTTTCTTTATGTGCTACATGATAATTCTCACTTAGCTGGTTCTCCCTGCGTTTGACTCTCCCTTAGTATCGCATTGGCATTGGAACCGTCGTGCGATCTTGGCTTCCATATTCCCAAATCTGGCTCCCTCCCAGTCGGTAAGTTGTATGTATGTTTCTCTCACCCACTGCCCTCATTACCCTATTGTCGGCCACTGCATGCCTTCAGTTAGGCATAACTCCGTCGAATTTGAGGTTCTTTTTTTATGGCTGACCCTACATGGTGTCACCCTTTTGTCTATCTGTTAGGATAATTGGTTTTGTTTTGCTACCACTCCCTCGCCCTGAGCTTGTTGACCTATCCTATATTTGTGTTTCACTACCCTTACTAGGAGTTCCAATTCTTACGCTTCACCCCCTCTGAGACCATCCCACTTATAGTGGTTCAGCGACATGTCATTATCTTGTAACATATTTCCTTTTTCCATTGAGGCAGTTGCCTCTAGGACTGTAGAAGTCTACCCTGCAACTTTCGTTTCTTTTTAACTAGGACTTATATATCAAACATTTGTTTTGCTCTGACATCATGCAGCTTAGGCTGCATCGCATGGACTTTGCATGGAGCTTGCTCTACATCCTAGATTTCTCAACTTTATTATTGCAAAGTTTCGCTACTTTGCAGAGGCGTGTTTATAGCTTTGCGTTCTACTACAGGTCTGAGGATCGTGCAGCGTGCCTCTGGCTGCCCTGACCTATAACCAATATTATTTGGCTATTTTAGTTGTTTAGCCTGTGGGACCAGGCCGTGCCCTGACCCCACAGGTCATGTACTCAATCTAATCATGTCCTGCCCGATACCACTGTCGGTACCAGACAAGTGCACTCCAGTCCAATCACCCCGCTGGGGGTATACCCCATCTGCAGTCGATTTTCCATTTCATTCTTCATTTGTACAGTTTGGAGCACGTGCGTGTTGAGTCTGCATCAGAGCTGCGCTGTCCCCTCCAGCTCCATCTCAATCTCGATCATCCTCATCTCCTTCGTTTTGATCCTGACTAACCGCCATCCCGGCGGGTTCGTCACACTATCAAAGATAGATCGCTCCATTCTATTGGTGGGTAATGACACAAGCTGGAAACCGGGTCCAGTGTCCCAATCACAAGACGAGAGTGAATTATTTATCAGCAACCATGTCTACGTCTCTTTAGGCCAGCCACATGCCACTCGCTCATGCAACCCCAAAATAACGAGTTGAAGTCCTGCTCTGTTTTGCAAAACTTTACGAGGGTCGCACTGCATGGGCTGCTCGACCGGACAACTCAGACGAGCATCCACAGGGGGCGAACCATCCCAAGTACCCGGGCGACACCAAAAGGGAGTCAATCTTTTCTTTCCTTCTTTTTTTGGCAGTGGGGCAATTTTGCGCCTATTCAGATGTGCCCAAATCCTAGGTAGCACGGGTTATCTGGCCGGATAATCTGGTCGGATTGTCTAGCCCGATTATCAGGGGGTAGGATTATCCAAAAATCCGAATGATAAAAAAATGGCCCAAGAAAAGCAAAAAAAAAGAAAAAAAAGAGATATTGCGCATGCAAAACACAGTAGAACTACGTTCCTATTTCATGAAAGCTTTTGATAGGGCATGGAAGGGTAATGAGGGCACTTGTTCGTGTTCGGACGAACATGTTTGCGTTCGCCGTGCTACACAGAATATGAACAACATACTTTTTTACCAGATTTTTTTGGTCTTTTATTTTCGGTTAAAAAAAGTTGAAAAAACGTATTCCGCGCAGGGCTGGATTTTCCACATCTGGAATTAATCTGGAAATTTCAACTGGATTGAAAATTCCGGATAAAATTGGTCTGCCGGATATCCGAATTTCCTGCCTAGCCCAAATCCAGCTTTAGCTTTGAATTCAGTGATGTCTTGCCAAAGGGTGTCTACAAGCCCGGCTTGGAGGGGCTTAAAGAGGCTCATAGGGGTATGAACCATATTTGAATGACATTTCATATTTTGTTTTTATTTTTTTTGAATTTCAGATTCGATAACAAATTTTTAGTTCACCCTCCGCCAAAGATTGTTTGATTTGCAATTCTGCATGACTTAGCCCTCTTCCAGGTTTTTTCTTTCTTCTTTTTTAATGCTAGGTCTGCCCGGGATCTTCATTGGCACTTTGCCCGAACCATCTCTCTCTCTCTCTCTCTCTCTCTCTCTCTCTCTCTCTCTCTCTCTCTCTCTCTCTATATATATATATATATATATATATATATATATATATATATATATCGTCAAATAGAACTGCCCGGTAAACCGTAGGCAGAGAGGGAGAAGAGGACAACAAACGAGGGGCTGTGACAAACTGTTTCGTCGGAGTTTCACCGACTCATCAGGAGGCTGAACCCTCAACAGTCTGTAGAATCCCCTCACTGATTACACTGTAAATGATAATCCACCTTAACCAAAATCAAAGTAGACTATCACTCACCCACACCAGATGGAAAACTCCACAGACTGTCGGTTCACACCCCCCATCACAAGCCAGCAAAACACCCACGAAACAAGGAAAGGTCTGTCACAGCCAAAAAATACACTCCAGACACGCTGCTGGCACTAGAGGCACAGCATGGCCGCGTAGTGACGGCCCCGACCACTGCCGCTCGACCTGACCGGAGAAAACCGTAGCAGGAAGCTAGCGAAGTCGTAGTATATATCGTCAAATAGAACTGCCCGGTAAACCGTAGGCAGAGAGGGGTGTCTATTTGACGATATATATATTTCTTTTATTTTTTTTTTCCCGCATCATGATGGCTCCGTTCCATTGGTGGGGAGCTGCACCTGCTTGAAATCGGGTCCAGCGTCCCTTAACATTCACTGCAGGAAGCCATGGTTAGAACAGTTTCAGTTGTAGGTTGTTCTCTCTCTCTCTCTCTCTCTCTCTTGCACACACACAAAAAAAAAAAAAAAAACAATCAGTTTTATGCCTGTCAGTCTTTCTCGTGTTGTCCGTCCTCCCTCTGATTTTTTTCTTACTTTTCTCTGTGCCCAACTGAGCACCCTCAAGCACTGCCAAACAGTCCGTGGTTCCTTGTTTGGAGTGCCTTTTGCACTCTTAGGGGGGTGCTCGGTTGGGGGTGTCTGTGTTGCCTGTGGGTGATGACGGATGCTCGTCGGAGTGTCTCCCTGGCTCACTGGGTGGTGGGAAACAACAGTCTGTGGGGTTCAATTGTGATTTGAGTAGGTCATGTGCCGCTTTGCTCCGTGTTGGATGTGTGGACCGCCTTGTCTGCGCTCCGCCACTGCCCTGATGCCTGTCCTGCTTGCTTCGCATGTGGTTCTTTGTAGGTTGATGTGTTCACTGTGTGGTGTGGCCGATTCGTTAGTGTTGCCTTGCGCTTCGCTGCTCTGCTGCCTTGCTGCCTTTCCGCTGGCCGTGCCTTCAGTGTTCGCTGTTTGCTGTCCTTGTTGGATGGTTGCCTTGTTGAGGGTGCCTTGTGCTTCGCCCCACAGTTCCCGAGTTGCTGGTCCCCTCGCCCTGTCGTCCTTGCAGTGTGGTTGCCTTGCTTGTGTTGCCTTGTGGTTCACTACACGGTTGCCGCGCTGCATGTCCTGTGTGCCATGTCATTCCTTGCAGTGATTTTTGGCGTTGTGCAGCCATGTTGCCTCTACTGTGTTGCCCGGTGCTCCACAGGGTTGCTGACCGCTGCAGTGTTCCGCTTGGGGACAGTCTGCCTTCAACAAGGGTCAAAGGGTTCATGACCCAAACCATCAAATACGGGGATTCCGCAGTCATTCGGTGCAATTTGGACGAACCAATCTATCATCATGGGTCTATTTTTTTTTTCCGGTTGTTTGTTGTGTGGGACTTGTACTGTTTTCTTGCTTGTTGGTTGTTACCTTGCCCTTGTTTGGTGTGCCTGTGTATGGTCTGCCTTCCCGCCTCCCCCGTGCCCTCCAGCCGTTGAATCTCTATGTTGTGGGCACTCGTCTTTTGCTTGAAAGTGCACTTGACTGCAAAGCGTTGCAACACATTTTAGGGAGGTCATGTCGAGTCTAGTCCCTGAGGAAAACCATGCCTCGGTGTGAAGTTGACAACTGGGGTTGGTAATATACTTAACAATCTAAGTGATGTCATGGGAGTGTGATAATATGCATGAAGAGGTTGGGCATAGTCAAGGGAAGTATCTTGGGAACTTTACCCCGGAGTGGTGATGATGGATTGAAGTGCGTATTTGTTACGTACTGAGGCGTCCGCAATATGTGTTCACACACACACACACACACACACACACACACACACACACTCTTGCGCATGTGCATGGTCAATCAACCCTGAGGAGGGGAAGTCAGCAGGAAGTTAGGAACATGTGAAGCCTGTACTGAGGAAAATGACATCCTTACAAGTAACCTCCCTTTGACATAAAATTCCCTGCGGCTGCTGCTGTTCAACCAATTAGATATTTTTTGCATCTCCTGCCAACTCTATCATTCTCCCTATTGTCAGATATGGGTGCAACAGCATCAACCTAGTGTCCTAGTCTGGCAGCCCTTCCAGCTCATAGCACCTTCTTTGGCTTGCGACATCAGGTCCAGATGTAGTGGTGGCGGCTGTCCAGGTTGTGAAAAGACACCTGCCCGGAAATAAAAACAGAGCTTCCAGGAAACAATAAGAAGCCTTCCTTGAAACAGTAAGATAAAGGATAAAGATCCTTAAGGCAACAAAAAGGCGAGTGGCAAGATGAGTCAAGGAGAAATGTTGTGGACACAACGATAACACATACCTAGTACAGCATCGAAGGAGGCTCATAGCACATGCCTAATACAGCATGGAACGAGGCCATATTTTTGCGTCGAACTCGAGAAGAGTGGCAAGATGACTCGAGAAGGAAGGTTCGTGCATAGGCGGGACCCTGCACTGACTCAAGAATGAAGGTTGGTGCATTGGCGGGACCCTGGATCGACTTTCTGCTATAAGGTTGTCCTTAGTGCAAGGATCGTGTTGCTGGCCATCACTCCGGGCCAGATCTTCCCATGGTCTTAGCCTTGAGCTGGAGACCCCTCTCTGTGGAAACCCTGTAGGGTTCTCCAAATACATGATAGGGCATGGCAGAAAGCAAAGGGACAGAGCGGGCCATGGGAGATACGCAGTCATACGTCCCGTGCAGCTCCTCTGTTCATTGCTTTAGAGATTCTAAATTTCAGATCGTTAAGTCTCGAGGAATAACATGTAGAGCTAGCAGCCTAGCCGTAAACCACCTTTAATTTGAAACCACCTCTTAACTGGCTCAAGCATCATGCAACCTCTGTATGGTGCTTTTGCAGAAGCACTACACCGTCGCTGACTGTGAGCTGCAAGACCAGAAGGAAAGCAAAACACCACACAAGCTGATTGGTTAGCAGTGGGATGCCTTCCAGGCTGGGAGTGAAACCGAATAACAAAGGGATTAAGTCCGATTAAGTTGGATGAACACAATTTACGAGTGAAAATGTGAAGGAAAGCGGGAAGAAGCAACCAAGGGAGATAACAGTGGAATGAGGAGGGGAAAAAAAAACCTGACTTGTTAACAAGTTACTATCCCTGATCATGCATAGTTCCATCAGCAATAAAGGAAAAGATAAAAAATATCACCAGCTGAAACAGGCTGCTAAATTCTAAGAGACCGTGGGTGAATCTGTGTGTGTGTGTTGTCAAAGCACCCCAAATTCTCTCTCATTTCCTCCACAAATCATAACAAACCACCCATAACAAAAAAGTATAGATAGACAATATATTAATATAATAGAAAATGCAACGTTGTCCATGTTTGCGTGTTCAGCGCCAAGTGAGTGTGTGTGTGTGTGTGTGTGTGTGTGTGTGTGTGTGTGTGTGTGTGTGTGTGTGTGTGTGTGTGTGTGTGTGTGTTGTTTTAAAAGACCCCAGATTCTCTCTCTCATTCCCTTCACAAATCATCACAAGCCATCCATAACGGAAAAGTATAGATATTAGATAGGCAATATAATAGAAAATGCAAGGTTGGCCACGTTTGTGTGCTTCAGCGCCAAGTGCCCACACACCCGTCTGCCGCCAAAGCGGCACACTTGCACATATACATATGCATATAAAAATATTTCAAAACATAAGGGGACGGACCACAGTGTGTGTGTGTGTGTGTGTGTGTGTGTGTGTGTGTGTGTGTGTGTGTGTTTTAGATTTTCCCCGCAACAGCCCCAATTCCACCCAGATGAATGGATTCAGAATCAAAGCAGTCTTTGTCCTATTGCAGACAACGAGAGCATTAGAGATGTCCAACATATTAAAGCAATTTTATAATGGACAGTTTTTTGGTTGTCCTTGGGGTACCCCTTTCATTGTCCTTGCAGCTCCCCTTTTACTGTGCCTCTTACGCACAAGGCTGCCCACGTTGACTGTGGTTGAGCGGCAGCTGCCCACATCCCCGTGTGCCTTCACGGCCCACTTGCACGTTATTTCAGGAGGCAGAGTGAAAGGGAAGGTATGCTCCTGTGCATTTCTCTTCAGAGCTTCGTACTCCTGTTCATTTCACTTCAGATCTTCAGCTTATACAGTCTTTGTGTCTGTCCTTCATCTTCATATTTCCGTTCATTTCATTTCTGTTCTCTTAATGATGCTCATTCCTATGCACTTGTTAGTAGCACAAAGGGAGTGGAGGGGAGGGTGGAGGGTGAGGGATAGAATCGGAGTTCTATAGGAATATGGGGCAGGGGAGGTAGGGGCAACGGGAAGGAAAGAAATATGTGGAGGGCAAGATAGAGTATGACATGCGAAGAGCAGGGGAGAGGTGTATGACGAGCTTCACAGATTTCTAAATATTCACCGCTGAAACAGACTACTCTAGTAAAAAAAACTAGGGCGAGTGGCCACCCCTACAGACCGGACAGGACCGGTTCGGGTGTGGGCTATGGAAGCACCGCATCCAATTTTCGCACTCACAGTTGCTGCATCGATTGCCACGGTGCAGACAGATACACAGGCTACGTGGCTCGTACATGCTAGGAACACAGAGGCATGTCGACCGCAATTATAGAGGCATTACCGTTCCAGCCCGACTACAAATTCGACATGACATGTCGGGGTGCCATACATGAGTACAGTACTGACTGTCATCGTACGTATGGAAGCAAAAACTCGCATGGACTATCCCTGCATAATCCTCACGGCATATGTGTGTTATAACCTTCCCCCACAACAACCCCTATTCCAACCAGATGAGTAGAACCGGACTGAGTCCGCCCAAACAGGCAGCACGAATCATAATAGAACCATTTTGAACCGTGTTTAGCTAGGGTTTCTTTGGGGCAACAGCTCCTCTTTCACTTTGCCTCGCACGTACAAGGCTGCCCACGTTGATGGTGGTTGAGCGGCAGCTGCCCACATCCCCGTGTGCCTTAACGGCCCACTTGCACGTTATAATAGGAGGCAGAGTAAAGGGGAAGGTATGCYCCAGTGCACTTCAGTTCAGATCTTCATACTCCTGTTCATTTCACTTCAGATCTCCAGCTGTTCATTTCCCTTCAGATCTCCAGCTGTTCATTTCACCTCAGGTCTTCAACATATGCTTAGTCTTTGTGTCTGTCGTTCGTCTTCATACTCCTGTTCATTTCTCTTCAAATCTTCAACTTATACTTTGTCTGTACTCTTACTGATGCTCATTCGTATGTATTTCCTAGTTGCACATAAGGAGAGGGCGGAGGGAAAGGGACAGGAGGTAAGTTTGTCAGGACGTGAGGTAGGGGGAAAGCAGAGTGCAACGGTAGGGCAGGCGAGAGGTATATGATGGGCTTCACAGAATTCTAAACGCTCACCGCTGGAATAGCACATGAGGTTCATTGGTGTTTGGGTTGCACAAGATTTTGAGTCAAGGAGCAGTTATTGCCTATGGTAAGTGACCATCCCTACAGACCGGACAGGACCGGTTCGGGTGTGAACTGTGGAAGCACCGCATCCAGTTTTCGCAGTCACAGTTGCTGCATCGAATGGCACGGCGCAGACAGATGTCACAGGCAACGTGCCTCCTACATGCTAGGAACACGGAGGCACGTCGACCACAATTATAGAGGCACTGCCGTTCTAGCCCCTGTCTACAAATTGGACATGACATGTCAGGGTGCCGTACATGAGTACAGTGCTGACTGTCGTCGTAGGTATGAAAGCAGAAACTCGCATGGACTATTCCTTCATAATCCTCACCGCACAAAGCATGTGAACCACATGCAAGTCGAATCTCCGGCGGGTCATCACATAGCGGCATAGAGCATGTTTCCTGGGTTTCCTCAGTATTTATTCCTTCTGTATGGGCASACGACGACAGGGAGGGTCGGTCCAAAGCAAGGGCGTTCAGCTGCTGCAGGATTTGGTCCACAACAGCTCGCCTTGATGGTGATAAGCGATCAGTACCCCCGCTCTGAAGCTGGTTCATATAGAGGCCCATTTTCCTCCTCGGGCTGCTGTGTGTGTCGCACGTCTGGCAAGGAAGAGGAAGAACCCTCTGCGGTTGCCGTAGGTGTATGACCAACACCGCATGTGGGACATGCTAGGAGAGGATGTGGTGGGTGATGGCACCGGGGATAGTCCACGCAGTAAAGACACATACTTTCTATGACTGCTT